TATAACATTCAAAGTAATAGTTGTATAAATACGGTAATTGACATATTTGAACATGTAAAATAATAATATACGGTGATTGACATATTTGATATTGTGATCAATAAAATGATAATTGGTCAAATTATCCATCAAAATCATAACAATACAACATTCAAAGTTATAGTTTTACAAATATGGCAATTGGAATATTTGATTATGCATAATTTGGTAATTGGCATACAATTATTGAGATATTTGAACATGCATAATAATTCAAAGTAGTATATATACTACCTTAGTTCGGGTTTTCGGGCGGGTCGGGTAGCATAATTGGTAACCCTACCCCCTACCCGCTTAACTCTCGGGTTGCAAAAATCGGATCGGGTTTGGGTCATTCGGGTCGGGTTATCCAACCCAAAAAATAAAATCGGATATATCCGTTCGGGTCAATCGGGTAGGATCGGGTTTGCTCTCCCCTAGTTGTGATGACAGGGCCGCTAAGTAGCTGACGAGTGAAGAGAGATACACTTATGTGACAAGTGTATCCACATAGGGATTCCGCGGGTCGAGACACACAACTTTGTCCGAAAGTCTTATACAATTTTTAAAAAATTACTCCCCCCCGTCCCTTAAAACTCTGCCGTCTTTCCTTTTTGTGATGTCCCAAAAAACTTTGTCACTTTCCCTTTTAATCAATTATTTTGTGGTTTCTGGTATTTCTCTCTCATCTGCACAAACCTCAACCACACAGTTTTTACTTTATTATTCTCCGTGCCGGTCAACTTTGGCAAAGTTTTAAGGGACGAAGGTAGTATAAAAATGACTAAATACACAATATCATATTAGAAATAAATGATTTTATATCCATGTTCTTTGAATAGTTTTGTTTATTTTTGTTAGAGATCACTATTGATTTAATTATATCTATATTGTTCAAGTTATTTTAGGAGAGCGTGTTACTTTTTAATATGTGGCATGTTGAACTGCTTAAATATACTAATAATAATTATTGTTCAATATTAAATTGACATCAATAGATTATTAATTGTATTTCGTAACATTTTAATAATAGATTTAATATGTCGCTAGTAATAACGATTTAGTATATTTCGTTAGTCTATGATATTTTTTGTATTGGGAGACATGCACGGTAATTTACCGATACCGTACCGTTACCGAACCGAAACTTCGGTATACCGAAACTTCGGTAAGGTAAAGGTATGCAAATTTTGCATACCGAAAGTTTTGGTACGGCAAAGGTATGAGAAAAAATATAAGGTATACCGTATCGAACCACCCCTATGCGTATTAACATGAGAAATGAACACATAAACAACATGAGAATTATATCCCATTTATATGCTTTTTTTCAAGGAAAAACACTTAGCTTTTACATAGTATTAATAATGTTCTAAACACATAAACCTCACCACAATGCAAAACATCTCTCCTTTTCATGGCATGTTCTGTGTGTTTGAAAGCCTAGGAGCGGATAATTAAAATAGGCCAAATCTTTTTAAAAAAATGTAATACATTTGTTTGCATGTCTAAATTAACATGCAAAATAATAGTAAAAATACTCCGTAATACTTCAAGACATTAATAAGAAAAACTCTAAAACACTCTTCTATCTAAATCAATAATATTATAGTACCGATGATTCTTATTTAGGAAAAAAATAATGGTGGTCCTTTTTGTGCACTTTACCAATATTTTGGTCTTTTAAGCATTATCAACTACTAAATTTCCATCTCCAATTATGTGATCATCCTGGATCGTTTTATTTTTGTAGCTAAATCATTCTTCTTTGAGTTCCATTTTGAGGAGAACATTCAAAATTTGATTTCTTTATTCAAACGTTTTCATTGATTTTTGTTAACTTAGTGTCATTTTCTCTAGTCTTCTCCTTTTTTTCTTTATACTATCTAGATTCAATCATTTTTATCACACTTTGAAATTTATTGACTTCATAAGTTTAATTATATTTGAAAATTGTAGTTTAACACAATCAACAAATTATAACACTGTCACTCAATAGATAACATGCATAATAACAGTAATAATAATATTTCAAAACATTTATAAAAAATTATAAAACTCTCTTCTATCTAAACAAATAATATTATTGTATTGGTGGTCCTTATTTAAAAAGAAAATAATAGCAGTTCTATTTGTGCACTTTACCAAAACAGTGTTTTTTTTCTTTCTTTTTTTTTTTGAATCCGGTGAGCTTCCAAAACCCTAAGGTTTTGGGACGGGGGCCAGGAAACACCCCGTCAAATTTATTTAGACAAAAATAAGGGTACAAAGTAGGAGGACTAGACCAAGACCTACCCACATAAAAAACAAACTAGATAATGTAAGGGAAGCTATTTTCATCGAACTTAAGAATGCCTAAAAAGTGGCTAAAATGATGAGTGGTGGTTTTGATAGACATGCTTCTATAAGATAAGAACTTTGCCGCTCTATTGATCTTTGGGTCCACGTGAGAAATGGTGTAGTTGTATATTTTGAGCTTTGTTTTGATGATGTGGATTCGCTGCCAGTATTGCCAGTGTTGGAGTGAGAGCCCTAATAGACCTTCATACACATCCTTAATATCAACCTCTAGAATAAAATTGTTGCAATTAATTTTCTGCAAAAAGGAATAAAGTACTCAATAGCTTCATATAAAGCAAAAGTGAAGTGATTGTGATTAGGCATGTGGGTAGCATGACCCATATAATCTCCCTTGGTCATTTCGGACAATAATAGCCGTACGAGCAATACACTGTTCTTTATCCTATCCAGGTAGCATGACACAGTGTTTTTTTTCTTATTTAAGCATTATGAACTCCTAAATTTCTCCCTCCAATGATGTAATCATTCTGAACCGTTTCATTTTTTGTAGCTAAATCATTCTTCTTTTCTGATTTCTCATCTTGAGAGTGACATTCACATTTTAACTTCTTAATACAAATAAACTTTTCCATTGATTTTTTTTTACTTAGTGCCACTTTCTTTAATCTTCTCCTCTCTTTTTCTTTATCCTATCCAGATTCAATCATTTTTATCACACCTTGAAATTTTAAAGTTTATAAATGTAATTGTAATTTAAATTTTTTGTTTAACAACATCAACAAATCATAGAACCAACACTCAATAGATTGCAATCAACAATCAAGAAATCAAACAATCAACTATGAATTTTTTTTAAAAAAAATTTGAATATGCTTTTCATCAATTGTAGATTATATCCACAAAAATTCAGATTAACATATATTCGGGAAGTCAGTTAAACAATTGTGCCAAAATATGCATAAAAAATGCAATGTTTTAAAATAATTTATTTAAATGACTTCTATATTGAATTTAAACTGAAATTTTATGGACATAATTTAAACTTCATAGAGAACATGCTCATAAATTTTCATCAAACAAAACCACCCGGAAGGACCTTGGAACATTCAACCCGAAACAATATTAATTTAGGTTTGAAAAATCAACATACTCACACCAATTATAAAGAATTAAACTGGGCTTAAATTTTTTACATTTATTTTTGCCTAAGCTCCCCCAGGGCCATCCCTGCTCCTCCTAGCTCTTGTATAATCAATGTTCTCTCACTCTCTAAACAAATGTGGAAGAATTCACTCTAAAGAGTACAATACTTTTTTACTGAACATGTGAGAGATTTGAAGTTATAATCAATCCTAGAAACCAAAATAATTCTCCCCACAACAACAAAACAATTATTGTTCTCAAAACCCACACAACACTCTCACGAGTATTATTTATATGAAAAAGTTCCACATAGGAAGAAATAAAACTTGATCAGGAAAAATAGAGCACAACTCAACGACTTCCAAATAGGCATGGACCGAACCGGATCTGGGCCCGGGTTGGGCCTAGGCCCGGCCAGGCTTTTTATTGGTTGGGGGAAGCCCGGGACCAGCCCGGGTTCCCACCGGGTCCGGTTCGGGCCGGGCCTCGAGCTGGTTTATAATTTTTTTCTTTCCTAGCTACTCCCTGACCCCCACCCCCCACCCCCCAAACCCCACCAAAACACCCAACACAACCCGGGGAAAACAAAAAAAAATGAAAAACCCCCCAAAAAAACATTTTGGCCCGAACCGGGCCCGGCCGGGCCAAGAGACCAATTAACCTACCCGAGCCCACTTTACCCACCGGTTCGGGTCCAAGCCCGGTACTGGACCGAAGGACCGGGCCGGGTCACGAGACGGGCGGCCCGAACCGGGTCCAAGCCTACTTCCAAACCTTGTCCCTAGGGTCTTTTCAACTTTATTGTTATGAGCATATGCTTACTATATACTTGGAAAAGTATTTAAATGATTTTTTAATAAATATTTGAAATTATGTAGGCACCTAGCCAATCCAACCATTGTAAATAGGGGTCGACCGGGCCCGGATCGGGATTGGGTCTGGGTCGGGTCTTGGGCGGGTCAATATTTTTGGGCATTAGGCCCGGTACCGGCCCGGGTAGGTTCCGGGACCGGGCCGGGCCCGGTACCGGGTAGGTTCCAAGACCGAGCCGGGCCCGGGTCGGTCATATTTATATATTTTAAAAACATTTGTTTTTCTTAATGATTCCTACCCACCCCCACCCCCTCCCCCAAACCACCCAGCCCAACCCGCCTCTTACCCAAACTATTCAGGAAAAAAAAACTTTTTGGGCCCGGACCGGTCCAGGACCGGCCGGGCCGGTTCCAAGATGGCTGCAGCCCCCCCCCCCCCCCCCCCCAGTTCTGGTCCATGGCCCGGTCCCGTTCCGCCAGGCCGGGGCGGTACCGCACAGTGGCGGTCCAGGCCGGGTACCGGGCCGGTACAATCGGTTCCTGTCTGCCTAATTGTAAATGATATTGCCCAAAAACACAAGTAGAGCGGACGAGGGGTCATGAATTCATGATACACCCTGAGTTGAGTGAGTTCCCAACCCATCACAAGTTTAAAAAACGAATGAAATGTATGTGTAGAAATGTGTGTAACAATCTATTTGAATTTGTTTTTGTATTGATTCAGTCCAATTTATACTTGTGTCTATGCCATAGTTACCGCAACAAATTCAATTAATCCTTATTTAAAGTACTATCAGGTTGCTGGCCAAGCGAACACAATTTAGCTATGTCATCTACAGGTAAAGTTGTTGAATACTTGCCCTACACAATCAATGGCATGAAAGCGATGGCATAAATACATCAATAACCATAACTAAACAATCAATGGCCTGATTGCCTGAAACCAATGGCAATATACTCCATCATTAATAATCTTAATAATTTTTCTTATATGGAATCAACCACCGGGAACAATTTCCTGTTCTTTTTCCCCTGTGACCATCTCCTTCTCCATCCTACTGATGAAGGAAAGCATATCTCCCAAGCCTTTCTCGTCTGAAAACAGGGAAAGAAAAAACATGATTTGTCATGTGTGGAACACAGGCTTAACACTTCATAAGGTGTTTCAGTATTTTCCCCAAATTGACCAAGTATAAAGTTATGAAACAACAATCATGTTTACACCTAGTTTAGTCATCTCCGATTGACTGAAAAAAAAATACAAACTCACATATAAGGTCTTGAACTGCTTATCTTATTGATGTTGACTTTGTAAGAAGAAATGTGAAGTACTAATATGAAGCAAAGTTAATTAAGCTCCAACGAGCAATTCAACCCAAGTGAGCCTCATTAGCAAGCACACGATTCAAGATTGGTCCACTCCAATGACTACTACGTCACGGAATATGTTAATCGATCATACACTTCGTATGAAAATGTTCACTACTCTTATTTGATTGACATTACAAGATGGGGCCTTAAGTCGTATAATATGGTTTGGGTGTTCGGGATGTCTAATGATTTCAACAATGTACATATAATAACCTAGTGAGGTAAATATAGAGATGCATGATGAAATGGAGAAGATGAGTAGCACATTTACCAAATCGTGGAATGGTGTGGCCTTTCGGATGATGAATAACCAAAGGATCAATGAAAGATTCAAGGAGTTGAATCCCAGGTTCCCTCAAGAAGTCTTCCTTTCCTATGAAATGGACAGAGGGGCATGTGACTGGTGAACCAAATGCCTTTTCTGCTACTGATTTCTCCCTAAACTTTGCACCTCCAATGATTATCAGATATTTTATCTTTGGAACCTTGGTCAAAGCTACACCCTGCCCAATCACAATAATTATTATTGTTCCAGAAACAAATATTAAAGAAAAAGTTTTGAATTTATGAGATAGATCTTGGGTTAGATTAACCAATTCATTGAATTCATTTGCAATTAACTGAATAACTGGACCAAAATTAACGAGAGACAATTCTCTCAATAAGAGTCAAGCTTACAAATTTCTTCAAATAGACCAATATTATGTTTTCCTGAAAATCAGTGTCAGCTAAAAACTCTTCAAAAAAGAACTATGAACACATATGTTCCCTTTTAAGAGTGAATGAATCCTACTATAGAGTAAAACAAAGACACTCCTATATGTGTATATAACTCATGTTTTACACTTTTACCAGGCCATTTCTTAATTATGAATTGTATCATTTCAAGATGAAATCAGGCCAAATGAACAAAACCACATACTACCTTCTCTTGTAAGCCAGGCAGGGCAGCAGACAAAATGGCGCCCTGGTTTTCATTCAGACCAACAACAAAAACACAAATCAGACATTGGAGGGATTAAATTCTTTATAAACTCAACTAATTTAATGTTTTAAAATTGCAGAAAAACCCAACCACAAAAATAGCTAGACCAGACAGAAAAGAGGAGCAAACCTGGGAGAAACCAAGAAGACCATCAAAAGGTCCATTCTTTACCATGTAATCTTCTATGTATGCAAAACACTCATCCAAGTTCTGGTATTGGGTAAATTCCTGACACCCATATAAAAAAGAATCTCAGGAACAAAAAAAAGAATCAGAAGGTTATTATTACAATAATCATATTGAAGAAAAAGAGGGACCTTGTTAAACCGGAACCACTCGTAATAAGGAGGGTCAAAAATACCCTCGACCTCGGATTTGCCGAGGCAGGGAAAAGGGGCATCCAGAAAGACAAGGTCGAGTTTATCGACGACGGCAGGATTCCATTTGGTGACTATTTGATTCATGAGAATGTCGGCGCTAGTTCTGAAGCCATGCAGGCAAAGAAATCTGGGTTTGATCTCCTTCTTCCTCTGGTGAATGCTTCCCAAGTTCGCTTGAACCGCTTCGCTTCCCATCCTCTTCAGCATAGACTGGGAGGAGGAGAAATCAAGGAGCGCGATTTGGTTCACTACCAGAGTACCAGTAAGTTAGAAGTGTATTTTTATACTCCCTCCGTAACTTTGAAATCTTCCCATTTCAAAAGTAGGTAGATTAAGAATAGTGAAAGATTATATGAATTATTGAGGGTATGATGGGAAAATTGTGGAATAATGTGGTGGAATGTAGGATAAATCCAAAAAAAAGTAGTTGTAATAGTGTATTATTTTAAAAATTATTGAGGGTATGATGGGAAGATTTAGAAATAAGAAGATTTTTTGTTACGGACGAAAAAGGAAAGTGGGAAGATTTTTAAGTTACGGAGGGAGTATTTAAAGGACGGGTGGTTCGGAATAAAATTGACTTATTTCATACGCGGGCGTAGACGAGAATCACGACACACTCCAAATTACTACCTCCGTAACATTGGGATGTTCCCATTTGAAAAGTATGTAGATTAAGAATAGTGAAAGGAGATATGTATTATTAGGGGTATGATGGGAAGATAGTGAAATAATGTGATGGAATGAAGGATAAATCCAAAAAAAGTAGGTGTAATAGTGTATTATTTTTAAAATTATTGAGGGTATGATGGGAAGATTTAGAAATGGGAAGATATTAGTGTTACGTCCAAAAAAGGAAAGTGGGAAGATATTTACGTTACGGAGGTAGTAAGATTCAAACAGATCTGCAGAGGGTTTGATAATATTGAAATTCGCTAATCAAATTTGTGAATTTCCGGAGGAAAATGTTGAATTAGTTGAATTGTTGTAACATAAAAAGTTGGTTTTGAAATATGCAAAACAATTGATTAATACGTACTAAAAAGATAAAATTAGATGGGTTTTACATCATTTGTAATAAAGTCAAAAACACACTATTTTTTGTTTGGGAATATGATAGTACAAACAAAAAGACTCACTAAATTGTTTGTGTTTCTTTCTTATAAAACAGCAGTCAGTCCATTTAATTTTCGACGCAATTTTCACTATGGATCGTCCAGAAACAGTATCTCTATGCTTTGTTATAGGAGTAAGACTGTGTACATCCGACCCCTCTTACCCCACCATGGGTAGGAGCCTTTGCGTCACTGGGGTAGCGATAATAATGATGATGATGATGATGATAAAATTAGATGGAAACTGGTTAAAGTAGTCGAATTATGTAATTTTAATCAATTCAGAAGAGTAACATTAATTATATTTTAGAAATTTTGGAGTTTCTTGTATTTTCTCTCTCATGCCTTTAGAATGTTCTTACTTAGACTTATTTCAATTCCAAACCAAAAGAGACTAGACTAGATTTAAATAGATCAGGCTAGTCTAGACTCTAACAGGTTGGATCACACTAGACCAGAATATAGTTCGATTGTTTAAAATATACATATAACAAACATTTATGAGATCGAGGTAGATCAGATCTAATTAGATTTAAACAGGCCAAACCAAATTAGATTACACTAGATCAGAACGGAAAATTTTAATCCAATTAAAGACATATTTAAATCTAACATTTTCCTTTGAAGAAAATAATAATGTTATTGATATTGCTTCTAAGGACAACCATGGTGCTACTTTACCTTCATAATAAGAGCCTGTTTGGTAACACGAAAATCGGCTGATTTGGCTGATTCTGCTGAAATTTATGAAGTTCTTGCTGAAGTGACTACATTGGCTGATTCTGCTGATTTAAGAAAAAATTATTTCTAAAATATATTTTATTAATAAAATAAAGTAAAAATTATATGTAAAATAGCTAAAATGGTCAGCTACAGTAACTTCAGCCAATACAGCCAGAAAAGTAACTCAAACCTTACTTTTTCTGTTTATTACACAATTCAGCGCGCGAAAGTAAAAATTACATGTTTGGGGAAAAAGTTGGCTGATAAGCCTGATAAGCCGAAAAACAGTGTTGTCAAACGGCCTGTAAGTGTATCAAAGTCAAAGTCAAAAGAAATACTTCGATTGGAAGGCGTAATGAACTTTACCTTAGTTGCGACGGAGATAGCATATGATTATTTAAAGTCGATTAACCACTCAAGTTAGCTAGGAATGAGCTATATTTGAATTGATTAAGAATTGTAGGTGTTTGAGATCAACATTTAACTTGGCCAACGAGTTGCGACTCACAGCCTAAAGTTCTTTGTCTTTGTGTTAATTTGTTTTGTTCACGAACAAGCCATTAGCGTTTACATGTTCAAGACAAATTAAACCATATTTATTTTGATTATATTTATGTAATTATTTCAATTTCATATCCATTAACTAAGATTACATATCTCAAATTACAAATCTAAAAAAATTAATCGAGTTTCATGTTATTCAAGCTCTCTTTTATTGCTTAAGCCCTAAAATAATACTCGTTTGAATTCATTTGCTTACCTAATCGCAGATTAACAAGAACTAATCAATCCAAACATCATCCTAAATGTTGTATTCATTTACCATCGTAGCTATTATCCTATTACTTCTAGACATTGTACAAGAAATAATTACACAAATGTGACAAGAGTAGTAATGAAATCAGTAATTTATGTTCAATTTTTCAACTTAAGTTAGTGTGACACTATGAGGCCGTTTGGCAACACTGTTTTCGGCTTATTAGACTTATCAGTCAACTTTTTCACCAAACACGTAACTTTTGCTTTCGCGCGCTGAATTGTGTAATAAGCAGAAAAATTAAGGTTGGAGTTACTTTTCTGGCTGTATTGGCTGAAGTTATTGTAGATAATCATTTTATCTATTTTTACATACTACGTATAATATTTTTTATTTTATTAAAAAATATTTCTTAAAGATATTTTTTTCTTAAATCTGCAAAATCAGCCAATGTAGCCACTTCAGCCAAAACTTCATAAATTGCAGCAGAATCAGCCAAAGCAGCCGATTTTCGTGCTACCAAACGGGTTCTACATTATAATACGGAGTAACTATTAGTCATCCCGATTTGAACTGCTTTTTAAATTAATTTCAAATTCAGTATGGTATGAATTTTTTTGAGATAGATTACTTTAACTTTATCCTATAGCGTGTATAGCACACTATTACAAGACATCACTATTAATATAATTCGACATAATACTTAATAATAGATTAACTACTTAATTTTTAATTTTTTAATATTAAAATTAAACTCTTGTATTTCAGTATGAACTACTTCGATATAATTAAAAATGCCACACAATAAATTCAAATATAATACGGAGTATCAATTTTGCAATATATTTGTATTAAAATATTTTCTAAAGATGATAATTTAACTGATTTATTGTACGCCATATAGATGTAATATTCCTGTTTTACATGAAATTAGTGTGACAACTTGAAGTTGAAAGTTTTGTCTCATTTTTTTTGGTCAATAAAGTGTCATTAAATCTAATTGGTTAGTGACATACTCCTCCGTTCCCCTAACTTTGTGCCGTTTTACCTTTTTCGACCGTCCCATTAAGATTGTCTCATACCATATTTGGTAATATTTGGATAGTTACAATTCATTATTACTTTATTCACACATTATCAATTCAATATTAACCACGCAATTCTACTTTTTCTTAAAAGTTGTGCCACACTCATTTGTCCCAAATATAGTGGGACGGAGGTACCACTTTTTTTTATCGGATATTCGGATTCCATCGACATTAGCGGTGGTGTGGTTTGGTAAGTTGTAAGTGATGGCCGAAAACGGAACACCCCATCTGAGAAGTGACCAATGGAATTCTGACCTGAAATGCGGGTCACGCACTATATGCCGTACTATACGTCTATACTTCAAAGTTCAAACATGTTTTCTTGACAAGGAAAATGATAAAAATAAAATATTTTTCGGATTCCTCGTCAAAACCTCTCTCAACTAACAAAAACCATGTGGAAAAAAATAACATTATTGACGGGAGAAAAAATAGTATAGCATCACGATAGACTTCTTCCATTAAGTCTATTTTTATTTGATCCTTGCTTTGATCAATAAAGCGTATATGTATTGCTACCTCATTAAAAACCTTACCAAGTAACAAAACCCAATGAGAAAAATAAAACTTGATTAAAGGAAAAGAGTGTAACGATACTAACGTGATGTAGGTGGGATACTCCCCCTCAAGTCTACATCCATCATTTATATTTACATTAATCAAGGATGTTTGGAAGTCCATGCATTCCAACGCATGTCACATTAATTACCTTAGCGAAGGCACACAAATAGAGGAATATAATTCCTTTAATACTCCCCCTGTGTGTCGAGCATAAGGTGATAAGCTTAAAAATTATTAACTTGCTAAAATCATGCCAATGAACAAAACCCAACGGGAAAATAAATATTGGTCAAATGAAAAGGAAGTATGATGCATTAATAACTACACGTCAATTACTTTTAACTGTGATATAGTAATTATGTTCTTTCGTGAACAATGTTTTACATTTTCAAAATTAAAATGTGGGATGGTGCATAATATGTTGTCTCATTAAAACCTTACCAAGTAACAAAACCGAATGGGAAAAATAAACCTTGGTCCAAAGGGAAAAGAGGTACAACGTCCAACATTTAGTTGATATATACTTTTATCAAGGTATTCCTTACATAACATCATGATTTATTTCATGATAAATATATACTCATTTAAGAAAATATCAGTGAGGTAACGGGATATCCAACATCGGTAAAACTCAAATCACATTACTTTGTGTTAGAATGACACTTTTGACATTTCCAATTTCTTTATGAAATTATCATCAATCATTTAATTCAATTTAGATATCAAAGTACATTTT